CAGCGATTGTCGACATAAGAAAATTTCCGTTATATATGGGAACAGCGATCTATGCGTTCGAAGGCATCGGTTTAGTGCTTCCGCTTCAGAAAGAGATGAGAGAACCCGACTCTTTTGGCGGCTCTGTTGGTGTGTTGAACACAGGGATGACAGTTGTCGCCTGCCTTTACACGGCTGTCGGCTTTTTCGGATATTTGAAGTTTGGCGACAAAGTGTTGGGCTCTATAACACTCAACCTTCCGGCGGAGCCCCTCTACGAGACGTGTCGTCTGATGTTTGCGCTGGCAATATTCCTCTCGTATGCCATTCAGTTTTACGTTCCCTTCAATATCATATGGCCTTCCGTTCAGTACCGCTTCAAACTCAAAGCCGATACCAAAAAAACCCGTTTCGTTGAACTTTTATTACGTGCCTTTTTGGTCGCCTCAACGTGTAAGTCAATTATCCACAACTCATTCTAAACAAACAATAATTGTCAACATATATGCTTTCAGTCGCGTTGGCCGCAGCCATTCCCCGATTAGGTTAGTTATACACATCACACATGTTTAATATATTATTTGTTGACATTTAGTACATGATCTTTAATTATGGTTACTTTAGATTTATTCATATCACTTGTGGGCGCCCTTTCCAGTAGTTGTTTGGCACTTATATTCCCACCGATTATAGAAATGGCCACAAAATGGGACGACAGGAATGGTTAGTGTGATAATTGTTATGCCATTGAACTAAATACTGATAATGTGTACAACAATAATGAATTGTAGTCAACTGGTGGTTACTTTCAACCAAAAACATATCCATATTTCTGGTGGGAATCATCGGCTTCTTCACCGGAACCTATGCTAGTCTTGAGGATATACTAAAGGCTTTAAAGAGTTGATGAGTTAAAGAGTTTACATATATTTTGTACATAATTTATAAATTTATTATAATTATAAATTATTTTTTTTATTAAGTTTATAATCGAAATTTTAATTAAATAAATGTCAGAGATTTTTATATGTAAAGTATTGTTACTATTGATGGAGTGATCATTGGGTGGTGTGATGTGCGGCCAACTGTTGCAATAATATTCTCCTTTGTTTTTCCAATTCTTCCAAATCATCGAAAGACTCTTTACCGCCCGACGGGTGAGTCGTTGGCATTGCTTTGCTTTTCTCTGGCGATTCCATACGAGTCCTCTCGTCGTCAGAAACCTTATAAAAACAAAATTATAATTTCATTTACGAGTCATTTAGTATAAAAAACAAACCGAAGATTGTTTGCGGGCGGGAATTGGTTTGAATTTTTGAATTCCATGTTCGCTATCGCTGGACGAGCTGTGAGACTGAGAGTGCGAGTGAACAGACCTATGCGTTGGTGGGCTTATGGAATGGGAATGACTGCCCTTTTTGTTGTTTTCGCCGCGCCTTTGGTGTCGGCGCTCGTCATCGCTTGACGAGGAAGAAGACGACGACGAAGAATGAGATCTTTTCTTAATTTTCTTTGTTTTGTCCGTTTTTTTATTGGAATAAAAACTTTTCTTAGCCTTCGAGTGATGATGACTACAGGACTCTTCCATAGTTCGGATACAACTCTTATAGAGTGTTATCCTATCGGCTTCGGAAGGTATGGCCAAAAAGGCCTCTTCGTTAGCAATGAGAGGTCTAACCGAATCCCAGTGGGAGTCCTCATCGATGGGTGGATCGAGTTTAGCCAAAACTGCTAAGAAAGCGGTGTCTAATTTGCGCTTAAGTTTCTGCTCTTCTTTGATTCGTTCCCTTTCCCTCTCTTTTTCCCTTTCGATGAGCTTTTCGTAAATGATTTTAACGTTTCCGCCGTCGAGTGTAGCACTTCTCGTGTCTTCGCTTAGTATAGTTGCGAAGTCTATATAAGTGGTGGCAATCGTCACTTCAAAGTCCTTACTCTTCAGTATATCTTTAATCATTTGTTTCTCGTCTTCATATCTGGCTTTGAGTTCTTCGACATAAAACTTAAATAAGTCGAGAGGAGTGGAACCGGCGAAGGGCTGCGACAACATTGCGCTGAATCGGGGATCAGCACTGATCTCATGGTATAGATTAACCCATTTAGACATTGACGTCAACTTTCCGCTGGCGTGCAGTTCATCTAAGAAACCGATAAATGATTCCCTATTCTTCCTCTGGAGTCGAATCTGTCG